AAGCCGCGGGCTAATTTTACGCTCCTATCAATGTGAATGTTAACATATCAATGTGAATATTCACATTGTCAACGGGCCGGGCCAGCCCTGACCCGAGCCCGGGCTTCGGGCTGCCCATGGGTCATGGGCCAATTTTACACTCTTGTTAATGTTATTGTTAATGTTAATATGTCAATGTGAATATTCACATTGTGAACGGGCCGGTCCGGCCCCACCCGGGCGGCGGGTTGGTTTCGGGCCGCAGGTCAATTTTAGACTCCTATCAATGTGAATGTTAACTTGTCAATGTGAATATTCATATTATCAATAGGCCGAGCCGGGCCTATTTTTTTGGCCTGTGGGCCGGCCCGGCCCGACTCGAATTTTTCCAAGCACCCACGAGGATCGACATGGGCCGGGCCACTACACATTGACGATATGAACATTTACGTTGACGGTGTGAGCATTCACATTAAGGGTATTTTGGTAATTATGTCACCCATAGGACTTATTGAAATATAAGAAAATAATGTGAACTAAATGGAACATAAGTAGATGAAAAGGGTATTTTGGTCTTCTTATCTCAAATTAGACCTAATAGAATAGTCAAAAAAAATATAAATTAGATGAAATAAAACTCTTAAAAAATAGATTTATCAAAAAAGCTCCCATCAACCATTTTCTCTTGTGAGAATTCTTTCGTGGATACAGTTTATTGGATGGTGACATTGGTTGTGTCCGTTCAGAGTGTCTAGCTACGTCACTTGTCCACAACTAAAATAAAATAGGGTAAATTACACAGACACCCCTTACAATTTGTATTTATTACGATTCTTCTTTCCTTTTTGAAAATTACATTTCTTTTCAAGAGATTTAAAGTTTCATTACAGATTTCCCCCTCAGTAATTTAAGTTTTTTTAATACCAATTTTGCTCTCACTGAATAAATTACATTGATACCCCTCACATTTTAAAAATTACAATCCCCTCCCTAAAGTTTAAAGTAGCATTACCAATTACCTCATCGGTTAGTATTAGGTAGAAAAAAAATTAATTGAAAAAATTTTTGTTAGTAAAATTTTTAAATTTCTGTTTAATAACAACGTAAACTCATTTTTTGAATTTACGTTTTTTTCTCAAATTTACAAATTGAGACAACCATTTATAAACTAAAAAAATTATCAAATAAATTTTTATGATAGTTTTTTTTAATTTGTGTAAATATAAATTGAAAACTAAAAACGAAATGGTTACCAAATAGGCTTCAAATGATAAAAATGTCGTAAAATTAACAAATAATTAATAAGTTACCAACGTAAGAAATGACTTATCAAAAGATTCTTAGACTATGTATGGTTTGATTTTTAGAAAAAAAATTTAAAAATTAAAAATTAATTTGGTTCAAAAATAAAAAATAAAAAATAATTATCATTTTTATATAATTTTTATCTTTCGAGTGGTTAGAAATAATTTTTTACAAATTAAATTAAAACAACCATACATATGTATATAACCTGCCCAAAAGTTAAAATGATAATTATTTTTTACCTTTAAATGATAATTATTTTTTATTTTTTATTCCTTAACCAAATTAATTTTTAATTTTTAAATTTTTTTTCTAAAAATCAAACCATACATAGCCTAAGAATCTTTTGATAAGTCATTTCTTATGTTGGTAACTTATTTAATTATTTATTAATTTTACGACATTTTTATCATCTGAGGTCTGTTTGGTAACTATTTCGTTTTCAATTTTCAATTTATATTGACAAAAATTTTAAAAACTGTCATAAAAACTTGTTTGATAAATTTTTTGGTTTATAAATTGTTGACTCAGTTTGTAAATTTAAGGAAAAAATGTAAATTCAAAAAATGAGTTTACGTTGGTTTTTAAACAGAAATTTAAAAATTTTACTAACAAAATTTTTTTCAATTAATTTTTTTTCCAACTAATATTAACCGAGGGGGGAATTGGTAATGCTACTTTAAACCTTAGGGGGGGATTGTAATTTTTAAAATATGAGGGGTGTCAATGTAATTTATCCAATGCGGGCAAAATTGATATTTAAAATAATTAAATTGCTGAGGGAGGAATTTGTAATGAAATTTTAAACCTCAAGAAGGGAAATGTAATTTTTAAAAAGTGAGGGAAAAACTGTAATAAATATAAACATCAGACAGTGTCAGTGTAATTTACCCAATAAAATAAAATAAAAATAAAAGGTTTTCTTCCGTTCTTAATCGAATTAGGGAGTTATTGTTTGGTTCATTAGATTCATTTTTAGGCTTCGTTTTAATTATTTAAATAGTTCATATTTTAATATTTATTGAATAAATTATTTTTGTAAAAAATAAAGTCAATTAAATAATGACAACTTTTGTATGGATCATTTATTTTTTCAACGTTCATTTTTTTCATATAAAATTAATCCGAACACATAATTTCTATTATTCGATTAACTTGATTTTTTTACAGAGATGATATACTCAACGAACCTTAAAAAAGTGAATAATTCAAATTATCAAAACAGAATTTAAAAATACACTCAATAAATTGGATAACACATCTCTTACTCGATTAAAGATAAAAAAATAAGTCCAATCTAAAATAAAAAATAAAAAGACTCCAATCCATCAATTAGTTGAGGAAAGTGACTACAACGATTCTTTTTTATATCACTGCCTATTATTCATCACTATCATTATCGCTGATCTTTTTTGACTAACACTTTCAGTTGTAGCTGCTAATCACCTCCAAGCAAATGATAAAAATCTTCGGACAGCATCATTTTCCAGGAACCATCTCCAACCACCACAAGTGGCCATTTAACCACCATCTTTGACCGTCAATCTATCAGCAACTATTTTGGTAATCACTTCATTCATATAAATCATTATTTTCATTTGTTTTTAAAATATATATATACCAAACATACTTTTATTTTTGTTTTTACAAAAAATAAATATTAATATATTTAATATTTGTTATAAATTAAAAACAGTAAACTCTACTCACTAGAAATCAATATAAACAAAAATTTTTTTTAATGCAAATGAATTTAAAAAGTATGTTAACATTTCTTACTAAAAGAAAAAGAAGAAAAAAAAAATAACGAACGAAAAATGATGCACAAAGAGCACTGTGAGATGAGAAAATAAAGAAAATGATTGGAAGTTCTCAACTAGGTGAGAAAATAAAATAAATGATTATAATTTTTAATGTTTTTTTTGTTTTTGTTTGGATGGACATTGATTAAAAGATGATACATGTCTTTTTATTTTATCTGCTTTGTAAAATAGGTCACACCAACAATTGTCTCTAGGACATTAATTAAGAAATAATTAATGATAGAATATATTAGTGTATACACTAATGTACTAATAAATGGTGTGACATAATTTTAAAGGTTTTAAGTATTTGTAATTTGTATAATAAATAAGATTATTGTGATATTTTATTACATTTAATGAGTCTTAGAGTTTGTTAAATATTAAATAATAATTATTTTTATGCATGAAAATATTAAATATTAATTACAAAGAAATTGTATTTAAATTCAAAAAGTCATTGAAACATGCAATAATACATTCAATTTAATGAGTTACTAAAATTACAAACTTATCAATTTAATGAAGTGTTAAAATTATAAATTTATCAAAATAGAAACTAAATGCACCCAGTGCTTCAGAGGCACTTATCAGCATTAGCCTAATTTTTTTTTGTAAAGAATGATTTTGATTTCTCACAAAATTTCATCATAATGAGAAACAAAATTTAAGATAATTTTGTTTTCACATACTAATTTTTCTCAGTTTACACACTTAATGAAAATTTTTCTTAATACAATTTTTTCTTAAAATAAAAATATCATAATACCTTTATTTTTTTCTACTCAAAACCTAATTCTAAAACACCACAACCATCTTCTATAACCAGCATCGCCTCTCTCGTCTACTATCGCCACTCGTTGCCTCTTTTTCCTTCTATATGTAACTATCTTTTTGCCATGAATCATACAATTCCATAAAAACTTTCACCACAAACTATCAACTTTTAAGGTTGATTGTGGAGGTTTAAGATGGAAGTGGAAGAGTTGGGAGTGACAATGGTGACAACGATAGAGGTGAGAGTGGTGACAAAGATAGCGTAGGAGAAACGGGTGAATGGAAGAAAATTAAAATTTTAAAATTGAAGACAATGATTTATTAAAATAAAAAATGTGTACGATTTTTTATTAGAGCTGTGATTGAGGCCTCGAGAGAGAGGCGCGAAATTGCCTCGAAATGCCTTTTTTTTTTTTTTTTTTTTGTTTGTTTTTTCTGGGCTAAATCATTACAGAAAAAAATAAATAAAAATAATAATAATAATAATAATAATAATAAATACAAAGTCAAAACACCTCATGTAAGACCCACACCAGTATTAAAATTATTAGAGCTCTTGAATCAATGGTTTAGAACATTTTCCAAACAAATAATCAAGATTCTTTTTCTTTTCCCACTAAACTCCTCTCCAAACGTAGTGTTGTGTTGTTAGTGCTCCTCTCCTTTTTGGCGCGGTGATGACGTGGGGGGCATCTACGTCTTCGTTCTCGACCTTGTGTTATTTTAATGGCTCTGCTCTCTGCAACACCCATTTCCATTAACTCCTCTCGCTCTCTCTCTCTCTCTGTGGTCCGCAATTTAAGGCCTTCTTTCTCTCTCTCTCTCTCTCTCTCTCTTTCTCTCTCTTCAAGTGCGGCTGGTTTCCACTGAATTCACTGGCGAATGGACTCCGCAACGATCGCCATGAGAGCTTATTATCCTCCTTCATATAAATCATTATTTTCATTTGTTTTTAAAATATATATATACCAAACATACTTTTATTTTTGTTTTTACAAAAAATAAATATTAATATATTTAATATTTGTTATAAATTAAAAACAGTAAACTCTACTCACTAGAAATCAATATAAACAAAAATTTTTTTTAATGCAAATGAATTTAAAAAGTATGTTAACATTTCTTACTAAATCGTGTAAGCTCGATCGGCTTATCTCCGAATTCCAATCCATCTCCAACCCAACCGACCGATTGAAGCGATTGTTTCACTACGCTACTTTGCTTCCTCCATTTAATGATTCGCTGAGAAAGGATTCCAATCGAGTTATGGGATGTACAGCCCAGGTTTGGTTGGACGTGATGATGGAAGGTGATGGGAAGATGAGGTTTAAAGCGGACAGTGATTCGGAGATTACAAAAGGGTTTTGCTCATGTTTGATTTGGGTTCTTGACGGGGCACCGCCGGAGGAGGTGTTGGGTTTGAAAACGGAAGATTTGGGGGCTTTGAATGTTGGTGGATTACAGGGTCGGAGTAATTCTAGGGTAAATACTTGGCATAATGTTTTGATTGGTATGCAGAAGAGGACTAAAGCTCTGGTTGCAGAGCGAGAGGGGAAGCCACCAAGTGAGCTGTTTCCATCTCTGGTTATTACTGCAGATGGTATGGATGCCAAGGGAAGCTATGCTGAAGCTCAGGTGAGCAATTTGTAGCCATAGCTCTGTAATTTTATTTCTCAAAATAGAAAATGAATGTATGATATGCTTTTGTTTTAGATAAATGTGAATGGGTGCGCTTTATTATATATATTATTGTTGTCTTCAATCTTATGCAAACTATATTGCTTAGCTAGTAGACCCAATTTTTGTATTGGTTTTTGCAAAAGATTTAGTTTTGTGGCGAAAAGTAACAATTTTGAGTCAATTGCTCAGAGACTTCTTAGGTAGAGTTTTCTGTGTTTTTCTTTGTTACACAGAGATCCAATTATTTGTGAGCTTCAGTTCCTCTCTTTGGATTTAGAAGTTCCTCTATATGTGTTTGGTAATTTTAGATAATCAATTTTGGAAAAAAAAAAAAATATGCAATAGGAAACTTCTAGTGGATGTTATGATATTCAGGAATTATGTAACTTTGGAAAATAGGGAATTAAACAGAATGATCAACAGCCCTGCATCCATGCTTGAATTGGTTCACAGACTCTTCTGTCACTAGACTCACTACCTTGTCTTGATTTCTAAGTGTTGAGTGGTATTTTAGGAAGCATGGATACGGATACGGCAATACGAAAAAACCTAAAAAACCTAAGAAGTATTGATATCTGATACGGATACAATACAAATGCGTCACCCTTTTGAAGTATCCGTGCCTCATAGGTGGTGTATGCTGTGGAAAGAATCTAGTTTATGTCTTGTTGAAGGTAAAAAACCATTGTACTTGTGTGTTTTAATTAGAAAGTGCATTACTGGGTTACCTTCAGGTTGGGTGGACTATTATTAAGTCTTTTTCCTGACACAATTTTTGGGCATAAGAGGTGGTTCCTTGGGTTTTCCTCACTTAAAATTATTTCATTTGTTTGTGGAAAACAAACGGCCTAGACTAAATTGGTACTATGCTTTCTTAGTTGGAAAGAGTTGAATATTTCCCTTTGCATGTTATTTATTTATAAGTTATAACTAAGTACTACTTCCCATGATGAATTTCCTGAATGCAATAAATCCTAAGTTACATTCAAGTGTACTTGCAGGCAAGGTTTTTGTTACCTGATGAGTTGAAGGTTCAAGAACTTGTCAATGTGCTAAAAGAAAAGAAAATTGGTGTTGTTGCACACTTTTACATGGATCCTGAGGTCCAAGGTGTCTTAACTGCTGCCCAGAAGCACTGGCCTCACATCCATATATCTGATTCGCTGGTTATGGCAGATTCAGCTGTCAAGATGGCAAAAGCTGGTTGCCAATATATTACAGTTCTAGGTGTTGATTTTATGTCCGAAAATGTGCGTGCAATCCTTGATCAGGCTGGCTTCTCAGAGGTAGTCTTTTCCTCTTCTTTTCATGTCTTCTTATTTCATCACTTTGTCAGTTATAGATCCAATTCTAAAACAGTGGGCACAGTTTTCATGTTAACAGAGTAAAAAGTGCTACTTGGTCGACAAATATTTTAATGCCCATTAAGAAGGAGAAAAAAAAAGTTTAAAAAAAATATGAAAGTAGATACAACAAAACTTTTGTAGAAACCTATATGTTTCGTGCTGGTCATAACTTACATACACTATGCCTTCATATCTTTTTAATTAGTGTGAAATTCATGAAAAGTAATTTTGTTATGTTGTTGCTATCTGCAACCTTTATTTTATGTAGTTTGCTTTCAGTTCCTTTCTGCATTTCACTTCTAGTGATACTCCAATCTAGTAATTTTTTGAGGGGGTTTAGGAAAAGGTGCATTTACAGTTTCACCTGTAGAAATTCTTTATTAAGGTGGAAACTCTTTACCCTCCTCTGAAGATTGTTATAAAACCCACTGCACTTAATCAACAAGCTGCTCATGTTGTTTCATAGAGCTTTATTTCTAAAAAATACTTGTATGAGTTAACTTGGACCTAATGATGCCTACAATTTATTTGTGGTGGGTTTAGGGCTAGAGTTTTGTTTGGTGGAAAATAGTTTATTAGTTTTCTAATTAAAAGGGTTGAAATTGACCTGAATTAGAAAGTGTATAGTAGTTAGTTTTTTAGAGAAGAGGTGATGAAAATTCTCTAGACCGCAATGTTTTATGGGGTTTTGGTGATAACTCAAAGAGAAAATGATATAGGAAAGGGTTGGGATTGAATGAGGACCAATAGACTTTTTGAGGTTGAAATTGAGGTTGTTTTAGGGTTGTGAACCGTTAACCAAACCAAGCCAAGCCTCTTCTCCCAATCAAGTAGGGTTGGCTACGTGAATCCTTTTTCATCATTCCGCTCTGTCAATGACTATATGCCTAGTTAAATTAAATAAATTCTATGCTTGTAGCTTTAAACCATGGTTGAGTATGACCACCGAGATTCTTAAAACAAAAAACAAAAAGCAAAGAAAAGGATATACCTTGAGTATTATAAACCATGGTTGGTATATCTCGAGTGATAGGGTTCAGGAAGATGATTGCTACCTCTGTTCTTACTATCATCTGGTTCATTTTTGTCCATTCTCTCTCTTCGGAAAACTCTTCAACTTGTATTCTCATAGGCATTTTCATTTCAGTAGAAATTAACTTGAAGTTCTTGACGCTTGCATTTCCAATAGTCTACACGAAAATTCAGTATTATCCGTGTATTGAGCATGACCATCTTGGCAGGTAGTTATTCACCCAAAAAAAATCTTGGCAGGTAGTTTCTTTATTACCAGGGACTGCATCATTCTGCCATAGCATTCTTTTCGTTATTTCCATTGCATAATTTACTACAACATCACATTAAATAGTTGCCACAGCCAATGAAGGAAAGCTGTGGGTGCATAATATGATGAAAGAATCTGACACTGAGGCACTTGAAATTCCAGTGTCAAGTTCCAGCTTTCTCACTAAATTTTGATTTTATTAATTTTTTTTTCCACTTTAGGTTCTTTTTCTTTTTTGAATTTTGATATGATTGTTTTGAATTTTTTTATATTTTGGTTATTCTCTATGTGCAGAAAAGCATTAGCTAATGCATTAGCAGCAGCGCCATCCATGTGGACTCTTGGAAATGCAGGCATGGGAGCATTGCAGGTTTTTAATTTCTTGAAACAAATGACCTTTTGAGCCTTCATATCTATCTTCTCTTCTTCTTAACGTCATATTGTTAAGTTAATTTATTTATATAAAAATAATAATAATAATTCACAAGAAAGTTCGTAGTTAGGGTCGCCACAGATAATTGGATCGCCCTTTAAGCGAAAAGGGTAGGTGATATTTTGGATCTCACCACATGAAGAAGAACAACTTTTTTTAGATCCTACAAGTAGTGATCTTCCAGCTGCTTGAGTTTGGAAGATGAATAATGGAATAATTATCAGTATTAAAGATAATGAAATTAGCGCACCACTCTCTAAGTCTTTTCTTCTCATCGTTGTTCACAAGAAAAAAAAAAAACTGTGACAATCTATGTGAATTTCAATGCTCTGACTTCTTAGTTGAATGTTTCTATAAATTTCAATGCTCTGAATTTTCGCTGAATTTTCTTAAAAGAAGTTGAATGTTTCTGTACTGTGAGAAAAAACTGGAGCTTGACAAACATGGGGTTGGTTGTATAGATCCATTTTGTCTAATTAGTTCCATTCGTAATTATATCCTCAGTTGTAGCTAAGATAGTCATGTCTTTTTTATTACCTCAACCCAAGTTCTCATTGTTTTACCATATTCCTTTTACAAGTATTGCTGATATACCAAATACCAAGAATTGTTGACCAATTGTCATATTTCTCAACCAAGTTTTGATGCCATAGTCTTAATCACCTCATTTGGAGACTCGACTCATTGGGAAAGTTGAATCTCACAAACCTTGGAAAAATACAAATTTGCAGTTGGATATTCAGTTACATTGTAAAAAAAATCTTATCCCACATATTTCTGTAGCTAACTCCCAATCTTTATCAGTTGGCAAACTTCTATATTGGGATAAAGTTTCAAACAAGATTTGGATTCTTGAAACTTTTCTGATTTTGATCACTTGTGGCTGGTAACTTGGAGGCATCAATTGTTGTTGTGTATTCTCCTTTGCTATGTGATTCTCTCTATGTATATATGTATGTATGTATGTATGTATGTATGTATGTTAAGTTAAAGGTAAGATAATCTGTATTATGCTTTGTTCCATTTCCCGAATGATCTAATAACTGAGAGGCTGATTTAATCATTTAAAGATGGCTATTAATTCTGCAGAAGAAGTAGTGACTGTGCCTTTCTTGTGGTGATTGCAGCACATCCATCTCAACCTAATCAAATCGCGCTTGGAATGAGCGATGGTGCAGTCTATGTAATCGAGCCATTTGATGCAGAGCAAAACTGGGGTCGAATAGTGCCTCAGTAAAATGAAGGTTTTCCCCTTCATCCCTTAGAATCTGCTTTGAATAGTCAGCTATCTGAAACCCCGTGCTAGGGATATTTAGTCTGCTCTATCTGTCTGCACCCGAAGCTAATCGTGAGTAATAACTTAGTAAAGTTATGTTCAACTTTATTTATTTTCTGTATAATGAATTAAGATCTATTTTCTGAAATGATATGTTCTGTACAATGAATGATTGTCCAATTTCTAACAATGTATTCGTGGCATCCTTAACATCATGTGATATCTGTTAGCTGTTACCCGGTATTGGAGATTCTATCACGGAACTTAATATGCCTGTAATCTGTTACCCATACCGGTGGCTCTATCATAGGGCTCAGCATGTTTATTCTCTATACCAGGATCCAGAGGTTCCTTTATGGAACTGATTACTCATAACCACCATATGTTCTGCATCTGTTTTATATCTGCTCTGTTAGCGTTAATGGATGTTCCACGTATAATTAAGCATGAACTCCGACTTCTGTGTGTGATTTGAACAAGGATATGAATATGAATCTGCTTATGAATTTGAATTATGATTTCTGAATATAGTATAGACTTTATTCATTAAATCCTTTACTCCGTTCTTATTCACTGGGCTTCCGCTCACTATTTATATTATGTATGTAGGTGATCAAGTACGTGACCAGACTTAAAGTTGAGGACCTGGCGTTTCAGTTTTTGTCAATCAACCTTTGTGCCTCCCCGAGGAGGTTCCGAATTAAGTCAAGTTTAGTGGTTATTTTATGAATGTACTAGACTTTGTTTCTTTTGATTTTCGAGCAAGATCTCTAATAATATGTTCATGGAGTGACATGTAAATACTGTATCTTTGACATCACTCGTAAGTTTATAAAAAGTTTTTTTTTATTTTAAAATTATTTGTCCCATGTATGTTTTCACAGCTTAATGGACTACGTATATTTTGTATATTTGCTTCCGCAGTCCTTAACTATATGTTATTCTATTAAGAGGCCTTTGGTAATCTAAGGATTACTGGCCAGTTACGGCGCTAAACCTATAGGGGCGGGTTTGGGTCGTGACAGAGTGGTATCAGAGTATATGTTCTACCACACACACAAGTCTATATGAGTTTAGGATGTCCTAGGAAGAAATAGGGGCATTCCATCTGCATGTGTAAGCGTGTGGTAATCTTTAAAAAATGTGAAAACTGAATTTGAAATCTGGACAACTAAATTGAAAGAAATGAACAAGGTTATTCCTATGTTTATTATTATTTGGTGTCTCTATAGCAACATGGAGAATGCAAGGGGAACTGATACAAGCGAATCCTTAGAGGCTCACATGAGCCGAATAGAACAGATGCTTGCCGCATTGACCGAAGCTACGACACAACAGAAGAGACAATAACCTTTGCCCCCTCCGCCTCTGCTAGCACAAGTTGAACCCGATAATAATGACATTATCAACCTGGCATAGAAATTCATGAAGATGAAACCGCCAACTTTCTTAGGTGGGATTGAACCATTGAAAGCGGAAACATGGTTGCTTGAGATGGAAAAGTTGTTTGAAGTTTTTCCCTGTACCGAGACTTAAAATGTTTTATTGGCCACGTATACTCTCAAAGATGAAGCTCGGAGGTGGTGGTTACTGATTCGGAATACCAATGAAAATATGACATGGGTTCGATTCAATGAAATCTTTTATGAAAAGTATTTCCCTCAGTGTTTTCGGGATCGAAAAGTGTCTGAATTCCAAGAACTTAAGCAAGGCATAATGTTCGTAGCTGAGTACGAGGCTAAGTTCACTAAGTTAGCCAGATTTGCTCCTCGCATGGTAGACACGGACTATAAGAAAGCCTGCAAGTTCGAAGGAGGATTAGACTTAGACATATTTGATCGAGTAGGCGTATTAAAGTTGCCAACATATGTGCAAGTTCTTGACAGATCCTTAATGGTGGAAGCCACCCTAGCCACTATGAGACAAAGTAAGGCCCCAGTAATAGCAACAACTGAATAGAGAGGAAAAATGTCTGGGTATGGTTTTAGAAAGAGCCGTTCTCATGTATGTAAAAAGCAAAACACAGGGTCTACAAGCAACTTGAGTCAGAGCAGTGGGTCTATTCT